TTAACATTTACTTTTTCTAATCGCTACCTCCCTCCTTACACAACAATATCATTAGAACGAAATGACAATGATAATGATAATAATAATAATAATTACTAATACTATCATTAGTATGACTTTGAGTGAATGAGTTTAATTTGATAAACACACGATCTAGTCTATAACGAATCCCTATGAACCTATACGTAATATTACAAATATGAAAAATGATCATGATGATGACGTAAACGATGACGTAGACGACGACTATGATGATGATGATGATGATGATGATGATGATGATAATGATGATTACGAAGATGGCAATTGCGTATTATTGGTAAAAAAAAAATGGCATATCGAAACTTCTCTTCCACGATAACATTTTCCTAGTAAATTACGTACGTACGTGTCAATAGCAATAAATTCTACTCTCACTAATAATAACAATAATAATAATAATAATAATAATAATAATAATAATAATAATAATAATAATAATAATAATAATAATAATAATAATACATTAATTCAATATTATTAAAATGAAAATTTTCTTTTTAACCGGATGTGACGTTCACGACCTCAGAAGAAAAAAAAAAATAATTTTTTAAAATGGAGATTTCATTCGTTCGAAATATTATTAATAATAATAATAATAATCGAACGTTCAATCTTTCTCTCTCTCTCTCTCTCTCTCTATAGATAATTCACAACATTACACTCACTCTCTCTCTCTCATTCCTTAATTAAAAAAAAAATAATAATAATAATAATAAAAAAATCGTAACTTCAATCCACCGAAAACAAACGGTTAGACGATAGTATTGAATAATGCAATCCATCTTCCGTCAAATTGATTTCCGGCGACATGGGATAAGATTTGGCGCAAACGACCGCATGATGATGATGATGATGATGATGATTATGATGATGAGTGCTCGAGCTAACCGGATAAGAGGTAACTTCACGGAGGACGGTGGGACGTGTGAGACCTCCTCCCGTGACTTCCGTCGTCGACGTGACCATTTCAACGACCCGAGGATTATTATTATTATTATTATTATTATTTTTACAGTTGCACTGGGTGGTGGGGGACGAGGACACCGACGTCGGCGAAACAACGGATTCCTCCGACGACAGCCTGCTCTCTCTCTCTTCCGTTTTAGAACCCGACGTGTGAAGGCTCGAAACGAGTTCACGAACGGCAACGTTGAGCTTTTGGTAATTTTCGATTCCTCGCAGAGCCAAATCCGCCATCGTCGACGACTCTCGTCCTTCTGGTAACTCTTTAAGAGATTTCAGTACGTTTGGAGTGTATCGTCTTTTCATTTCCGTTATTCCCTGCTCTCCTTCTTCCTTCCTGCAAACAACAACAACAACACAAACATCAATCAATGACGTGCAACATGTTGGAATAGCATCTTTGAAAGGGAAACCAAAGCAGAAGACAATCATTATTATTATTATTATTATTTAGTTATTAACTCACGATATGAGACTGTTAACGCAAATGAATGAGCCTATTGATTGAGTATTTTGGTCGAATTCAAGATAACCGGTCGTTCTCATATATACATGTTCACCATTTTTCGTTTTCAATCTGTAAACGCTATAACCGGATCCTTCTCCTTTATCGTACACTGCAAAGAAATAAAATAAAAATGATAATAATAATAAATGACAAACAAGCAAACAAACAAACAAAATTACGATAAACAAACGCAAACGAAAACCATTTTTTTTTTTTTTTACAAGTCAAATAAATCGTGACCGTGTCAACCTGAAGATGAGATGAGTAAAAATTAGTACTCGTCTCTCGTCAAATTATCAATTTTTACAAACGACAAAACCAAACCTACACCGTAACAAACAACAAACAAACGAACAAACAAACAAAAATTTCCACTTAAATTCGCGAAAAAGATAAAAAAAAAAAAAAAACAACCTTGAAAATAATATAAAATAAAAAATAAAACGATCGTTTTTTTTTTTTTTTTTTTCTTTTTTAAATATTCATTGACGTCGACAAAATTTTGTCGCTCGACTTGTCTGATGATGACCTTCGACATATTTTTTTTTTTTTGCGACTTTTAACCGACTTCCGTTTCCGTTATTCGTTATCCCCGATATTAATTAATTAATTAATTATTTCACCGTTCAAAACTTTTAAAAAATCCATCTCCCTCTCACTCGCTCTCGCTCGCTTTTTCCCTTTCGATCCATCGATCGATCGATCGATCGATGGATCGATGGATCGATATATCGAAAAACTCACTTTGTTTTAAAGCGATCATAACCCAGGTGACGTCATCCTTGTGCATGAAATTAAAGGGGGATAAACCCAAAACCTCTTCGGAAAAATATCCGGCGACGACGGCGATCCGATGATCGATGTATATCATTTTACCGCTCGGCTCGTGCCTCGTCACGTATTCTTCCTTTTTCGCTTCCAAAAGACACAGGGAACTTATTTCTCTCTCCTTGTAAAGCCTACCCACGGCCACGAGAACAATGTCGTTTTCGTTGAAACTGTGTTCTGCAATAAGAAACAATAATAATAATAATAATAATAATCATAATGATAATAACGATAATAATTAATTACATAAAATTCGAAAAAATAAAAAAAAAAAAAACGAGAAAAAAACGACCCTTTGAAATTTACGTCGGAAACCCCCATCCCGCATCCCCCTTCCCCCCCTTGTGTTTCGTAATTATTCCGAAAGATGGCATTTTCGATCGCTTACGCCAATAAAAAAAAAAAAAAAAAAGAAAAATTCACTGGGTCATCGACCTTAGGGGTAAACTTTGGGGCCGAGCCGATTCTAAATTTGGATAAAATATATAAACACACACACAAACACACGGACGTAAATGATAATAATAATGATAATAAAAAAAATTCATTCCTATCGCCAGTCAGTCAATCAATCAGTCAGTCAGTCAGTCACGAGTTATTTATTATTTTCGACCTTAATTACGAGAAGAAAAAAATCTGAAAATCTGGAAATCTGGAACGTGATGACGTCAAAAGCGGAGGGTCACGAAAAAATCGAAACGTTCGAAATTTCTCGTTCGTATTTTATATCCATTCAAATTGTCATTCGTTCGTTCATGTTTGTTCGTCTACGAATTAACCTTTGACCTTTTAAACATTGGCCGGACACACCGGAAAAATTTACGTTTAACATATCTTTTTTTTTTTTTTTTTTGTTCAAAAAAAAAAGTCGGTGGAAAATTCGGGAAAACAAACTCTTCCCCCTCTTCCCTTTTCCTTTTCCCTTTTTTTTCTTTTTTCTGACTGTCCACGTGCAGCGCCCCATCGGGAAAATTTCTCCCATTTCAATGTTTCTATTATTATTATTGCGGCGTGCCACGAGACGTCCTTAATTGGAAACCTGCTGGGTGGATATATATATATATATATAAGGGAAAAGGTAACGGAAAAAAAGGGAAACCTTTCAAATCCATCTTCGTCGGCGGAATCGCGTGGGATACGGGATAGCAAAGAGTAAAAGGGAAAGTAGAGAGAGTGGGGGGAGGAAATCTAACCTCTTTGCCTTCTCGACCTCGTGTGCGTCGTGTGAACCTCTAATTTGGATGGCACTCTAAGATCTCCGACGATGTGTACGTGTTCGTACTGTGGTTGATCCGTTCTCGACGATGCTTTCTGAACGAGTCTTATGTAAAAGGATCTTCTCTGTCGGTCGACCATGTTTTCTATTGGAGATTCGCACGACGTCGACGTCGGTGGATCAATGAATGCCGGACCTGGAACTGGAGAACTTTGAGCCGATGATGACGTGGTGCTCGCATCGCTCGAACTGCTCTCGTCGTGACTCTGACTATCCGTACCGCAATTCAATGGAAATCCTTCGTCTGGAGTTAAATTTTTTTTCAATTCTTCCCGATCGTCTTCGTGGCAAATGTTGTACAGGGATTGACCCATTATTTCGATTTGAGAATGTCCCAAGTATTTTTCAACAGTGTGAGATATGAATATTATTCTCGCACCGGCCGTTATTATCAAAAGAAATCCTTCCATGTCCTAATAGAGAAAAAAAAGCAGAAGACAAAAATTTAAAAAAACCAAAGAGACCCAAATAATCATCGTTAAAAACTCATTTTTTTTAGAAAATGGCGGTCAATTTTGCCGCAAGGTGAATTCAACGACCTATTTTTTCTTTTTTTTCAGGTTTACCTCAACACACCTGACTCCATGGTAGGCCACTTATATTAAACGACTAAAAAAAAAAAAAGTGAAAGTGCTGGAGCGTAAACTTTGAATCTTTTTTTTTTTTATTACGCTCCATCCAAACTCTAGAATTTTTTTTTATTACCGTAATCATTGACTGGAAAGGAAAAAAAAAAAACGGTTACCGGTTCACGACGACGATTATCACGGTTCACGTTTTTGTTATTATTATTATTATCATTATTATTATTATTCCAACGAGTAAAAAAAAAAAAAATTCCAAACGAACATTCGGCCAATTTAAAAAAAAAAAAACAACCGAAACCTGACCGCACGCAATCGATATTCTCATAACTCCAACAACTCCTCTAATCTTCTCGAAAAATATCGAACGATAACTCGAACTCGTTTCGAACAAAGTCCCCCCCCTCCTTCTCACCCTTCGCCCCCCCCCTTCCCCAAGAGAAAAAGAAGAGACACTTACTTCCATAAGGTATTGTGACAGGTTAACAGTTTTCAATTCTTTCGGCAACAATTGCCAACTTTTATCAGGTTTGAGTGCTGGAAAAATAAAACAAACAGCATTAATAATTACGACGACGAATGAATAAATAATAATAATGATAATAATGATGACGTAAAGGCATAGAACATAATAAAACTTACTTTTATTCATTCTTATGTAAGTGGCAGATAAGCGGAGAATGCTAGTCTTATCCATTTTCTTGCTGGAACCGGCGGTCATCGGAACAAGCGTCGACAATTCGTTTATGTGTGTGTTGAGCTTATCTCTCCTCATTTTTTCCGCCAAATTCCTCGCCATCCTGCTCGAACTGCTCTCATGAAAGAAAAAAACGGAAAAAACAAATTATTTACTACATCATCATCATCATCATCATTTTCATAGGTTGCGACACTGCGGTAGTCATTCGATAGATCGATCGATCAAAATTTATTTAAAGAGAAAAATAATATTTTTCGATATCTCGTTTTGAATAGAATAAAAGTCTTGAAATGTAGTTCACGGTCATTCCAAGAGAGAGAGAGAGGAGGGACAGAGATAGAGGCAGAGGTAGAAAGGGGGGAAGAGAGAGAGAGAGAGAGAGAGAAAACGTTTTTTGTTTTTTTTTTTATTTTCGACCTGCCCGACTGGCAGCCTTCGTTACGCAAAGAAAACATTGTGGCATCGTAAAACACAAGGTTGCCACATTATTAAAAATAAAAAAAAAAAAATTTTTTTTTACTTCTCTCTCTCTCTCTGTGTCTCCCTTCTCTCCTCTCTCTTTTTTTCTTTTGTTTCGTATGAATCGTGGTAAATTGAAAAAAAAAAAAAAAACAACAAACGAACGCCTACGACGTAATTTTTTTTTTTTTTAAATTAAAAATCGATTCGGTCATTTTTCGTTTCGATGCATTCGTTCGAGTGCAGCATCCCAAAGGATTTTCTAACTCGCTTAACCCCCCACCCCCCACACACCCACACAAACAAATTTCTTATCGAAATCATTTTTTTTTATCTTTTTTTCCTCGTTAAGGTGAGGGAGAGTGAGATGATAACGTGACGACGACGACGACGACGATTGTATTTTTTTTTTGGGGGGGGAGGAAACGAATGAGGGAGAGGATGATGATGATGATGATGATGAGGAGGAGGAGGAGGATTCGATGATGCAGGAAACTGAAGGAGAACAAAAGAAGAAAACGAGAAAATTTTGTCATACTTTGTTAAGCATCACTCTCATTTTCTCATGTCGACGTCGACATTTTCATTTCGTTGCATCCAGGTAAAACCTAACGAGAGAGAGAGAGAAAGAGAGGGGGCACGACAGAGGAAGAGAGGATGGCGGGGGCGGGAAAATCAAATTTTTAATTGCTTTACAAACACATAAAAACGAATAAAATGTTGTCTTATGCAAGCAATTTTGTTCATTTTCCACATTTTCCTTCCTTTCTTTCTTTCCATGACTCCGCGCCTCCGCTTGCACCACCACCCCCACCCCCGCCATCAAACCTTTTTCCTCTATTTACAACAATCTCCCACCCCATCATCATCATCATCATCATCATCATCATCATCATTTTGCATTTAATTTATTTCTCTCTCTCTCTCTCTCTCTCTCTCTCTCTCTCTCTCTCTCTCTCTCTCTCTCCAGAGATTTTGCACGCGCAATCACAAAATTTACTTTTTTTATTTTTATTTGCTTTTTTTTCTCCAGTTTCCATGTCAATGGAAAAAAATGCATTATAAATGAAATTTTTCTTTTTTTTTTTTTTTTTTTTTTTTTTTAGTAATTTTCCACGAAAACGTTTTCATTTTTTCATTTTATTTTTTCCCTTCCCTTCTCTTCCCTTCCCCTTTTTTTCCTTTTCGTACGAAGCACGAGACTAATAAAAAAAATAAAAAATTAATTTAAAAAAAAAAGACGGAATAATTTAACTCCAACGAGATGCTGAGAGAATAAGGAAGGAGGATGGGGAGGAGGAGGAGGAGGTAGAGGGGGAAGAACAAGGACGAGGACGACGTTTTCAGGGGAAAGGAGAGGAGGAATGCGAACGTGAGGGGATAGTAAAAAGGTGAATAATGCATCAGTGAACGTTGCAGCGGTTTGCAAATTTATCGAACCGAGAGCGAACTGAGAAGAGAGAACAAAGAGAGAGGACAGACAGACAACGAAGAGAACAAAGAGAGAGAGAGAGATAGAAACACGTTCGAGACGAGATTCGAACGCACGAATCTGCCAAATAAAATTACACACATTCAATTAATATAAAAATTTTTTGCAAACGTCGTATTTTGACAGAAAGAAAGAAAAAAAAGATGGCGACGCTCTCTCCCTTTCCGTCTCCCCCCCTCTCTCTCTCTCTCTCCCTCTCTCTTTTTTATCAGGAAAGTAAAATGACAAAAAAGTAATAATAATGATAATGAACTACGCTCAAAATAAAATGAGGGAACAAAAATCGTTTGAAACCAAAAGATATTTTACTATTTTTTTTCGCGGTAGCCATTTAAAAAAAAAAAAATTTCGATCGGTTAAAATAATATAAAGTTGGCACCCCTGGAATTGATAACGAAAAAAAGAAAAAAAAAAAAAGAAACACGAGTCACCTGGAAAAATGTAAACAGATGACATTATTTATTTATTAAATAAAACGCTGCTGGATAAATACATCATCATCATCATCATCATTATTATTATTATTATTACGACGACTTTTACTTTTCCACTTCATCTCATCTTCATTTTTACTTTTATAAATAATAATAATAATAATAATAATAATAATAATTTCCAAGGTCGATAAAAAAAAAAAATTATTTTTTTCATATTTCTAATTTTATCATATCAATCGAATGATAAATAAATAATAATAATGATGACGACAAAGACGACGACGACTGGAATGATAATAATAATGATGATGATGATGATGATAATAAAAAAAAGCTCTCTCTCTCTCTCTAACTGGTAATGATAAAAGCTTTATATCGAGGTAAAAAAAAATATTTTTTCCATAGAATAATTAGAAAAAACTAATAAAGGGGAAAAACCTGGGAAAATGATCGATTTCCCGCCCCCCACTCATCTTTAAAATCCTAAAGGATGAAAAAAATTTTCCGTTTGGAATTTCCCCCCCCCGCTCTCACTCCCTCTCCCCCTCGCTGTTTCCAATAAATTAATTATAAATCTATGATAAAAACATTTTTTTACAAAAAAAAAAAAAAAAAAAATGGCGAGTTTCGAATACGAAATTAATCAATCAAATATTTCATAGCATTCGATCCGTGGAAATAATAATAATAATAATAATAATAATAATAATAATAATAATAATAATGATAATGATCATGATGATGATACGAATAAAATTGCGCAGTTAAAAAATATTTGAAAAGCAACAAAAAATAAATAAAAAAATAAATAAAGCAAATCCAGCAGTTTTTTTTTTTTTTTTTACTTTCCTTCTTACTTTTCTTTTATTATTAAATTGCATTTAACGCATAAAAAATTATTTTATTGATTCGATATATCGATATATCGTTCGATATTTTCGATTGAAGCAATAATTTGCCGTTGAGTACATTGAAAAAAAAAAAAAAATGAAAGAAATGAAAGAAAGAAATTTTCAATCAAGGAAAGGAAAAAGCAAAGGCAGCGTGGGCGGCGAGGGAAAAGGGGAGGGGAAGGGAAGGAAAAGGGAGGGGAAAGGTAGAGAAATTTTTAATGTTTTCCAAACCTTTTTCGAAAGGAGGGTGGAAATGGGGGAGAGAGAGAGAAAAAGGAAAAAGTAACGGATAAGCTAAGAATTAAAAAAAATTTCAACAGAATCAAAGGGAAATTTTTTCCCTCACTTTTCCCCCCCTTTTTCCCCCTTTCCTCCCTTTTCCCCCTACACAATTTTTTTTTTACCGCGTTTGTTAAACCTTTGATAATAATAATAATAATAACGAGAAAACAACCTTGAAATTAAAACAATTACGGTTAATTTGAAATTCAAGGACGTTCAACTATAGAATTTAGTTTTTTTTACAAAAAAAAAAAAAAAAAAAAAAAGTTTATTATACAAATTCGCGTAAGCGGATTTTGTTCGTTTGTTTGTTTGTTTGTTTGTTGTTGACTTTTTTTTTTTTTTAAAACACACACACTCGATAACTTCAATGAAAAAATTCAAGGTTTTAATGAAGGGAAAAAAATTAAAAAAAAATTCAGTTATAAATAAAGGAAAAGGAAAAAAGTGAAAGAAAGAGAGAGAGAAAGAGAAGGAGAGAGAGAGAGAGAAAAACAGGCGCCTCCGCCTCGTATTATCATTATTATTATCATCATCAACATTGCCTTAGTCGTCGTCATCGTCATCGTCGTCGAGGTCATTAACGATGATCCAATAAGAAAATTATTGTTTAAAAAAAAAAAAATTTATTAATAGAGGTCGAAGGTTAAACGTATTTGCACAATTTTTCTTCCTCTCTCTCTCTCTCTCTCTCTCTCTCTCTTTTTTTTTTTGCTGATAAGAAATGCATTTAATGCATGCGTTCTAAAAATAATAATCCTTGTCCTATTCCAAGATATTTCATATTAATAATAATAATAATAAAACGAAAACGCGTTTTAAATAAATCGGAAAAAAAACTTTAACGAGACTAATAATAATAATAATAATGATAATAAAATTACAAAAAAAACCAAACAAACAAACAAACAGACAGACAGACAATTAAAAAACTTTATACATCACAGCAGGCATTTCGCCATTAACGAGACAAACGACAAACGACGACAATCGCAAAAAAAATAAAAGTTTTGACAATAATAATAATAATAATAATAATAATGCGATAATTTAAATAAACGACAGCGACAACAACAACAACAACGACAACGTAAACAAGGAAATGCATTTTTCAAATAACTGATAAAAAAAAAATCATCATTATCATCATCATAATCATTATCATTATTATTATTATTATTATTATTATTTTTTTTTTTCTTCTCTCTTCACTGATAAGAAACTTTCAAGAGCTTTGACAACAACAAAAAAAAGTCGATAATAGTCTCGTTTTTTTTTTTTTTCTATTCAAAACAATTAAAAACCACAACAACCTCAACAACAACAACAACAACAACAAACGCAACGACAATAATAATAATAATAGTCAAACGGAAAATTTTTAATGATTGATAAAAAAAAAAAAGGCTCCTCACTCACAAATCATTATTATTATTATTATTTTTTCAAATCGTAATAATTTTCGCGCCAAAAAAAAAAAAAAAAAAAAAGAAAACCGGAAGGAACCGACTGGAATTTTCTTTACTATTTGAAATC